ATTTAACTATCAACATGATTCATGCATGTTGAATCGCCTCATCGATACGGGTCAAAGAACCGGCGTATGTGAGCCCACATGGTTCAAGCGTGTGTGGCTGGGAGCCACGTAGATATGGTTCAGGCATGCCTGACGAACAACGAATTTAGCTGTGTCAACATGATCATGCATGCTGAATTTCCGTACCGATACGGATTAAAGAACCGGTGTAGGGAAGCCCACATGATTCGGGCGTGTGTGGCTGGGAGCCGCGTAGATATAGTTCAGGCATACTTGACGAACAACGAATTTAGCTGTGTCAACATGATTCATGCATGTTGCTTTGCCGCGCCGATACGTGTCAGAATACCGGGCACATAGATGAGCCCACATGATTCAGGCATGTGTGGCTGGTAGCCACGTCAATGTGGCCTCACGCCGATATGTTTCAGGCATACCGGTTGCATAAATGAGCCCACGTAATTCAAGCGCGTGTGTCTGGTAGCCGCGTCGGTACGGTTCAGGCACACCTGACGAATAGCGAATTCTAACTGGGTGAACATGATTCATGCATATTTGGCCAATCGATTCTTCACGCCGATAAGGTTCAGGCATACCGGGGTACGGTTCAGGCATACCTGACGAGCAGCAAGTTTAACTGGGTCAAGACGTTTAGCAAGACGTTTTTTCCCGGCATTGGCCATGCTATTCTCGACATCGTGAACTCCAGTTTATCGACTGGTCTCATTCCACCTGGATGGAAGCACGCGATAGTGACACCAATACCGAAAGGCAAAGCAGGGAACACGCCAGCAGACACGCGCCCTATTTCCATTTTACCAGGCATAATGAAAATAGTTGAGCGCATAGTTCAAACCCAGCTGATCGACTACCTATCCGAGCATTCTCTGCTGGCAGCCGAACAACACGGGTACAGGAGACTGTACTCCACTGAGACGGCCCTCAACGTCATTACTGACCGCATTCTTCAGTCCATGGACAACGGTGAAATTTCAATTTTGGTCTTACTGGATCTTTCAAAATGTTTTGATGTCGTGTCTCACCAAAAACTCCTGCAAAAACTTAGCCTATACGGTATCGACACCGACTGGTTCGCTAACTATTTGGCTGGGCATGTGCAACAGGTCAGAGTCCGCGCCGCTGACGGCTCCAGTATCACCTCCCGACCGAGAGAAAACACCATTGGTGTTTTCCAGGGAGGTAGTCTCAGTTGTGCCTTGTACATGCTTTTTGCTAACGATCTCAGTCTGCACATGCCCGACGGAGTCACCATAGTACAGTTTGCAGATGACACTCAAATTTTGGTCACTGGAAAGAAACGGGATTTGGATTGTATCATTTCACGCACTGAGGCCGCACTCGACGCCGCCTACCGATGGTTTTGCCACAATGGCATGAAAGTTAACGCCGCCAAAACACAGATGCTGGTGTTGGGCACACCAGCAATGTTGCGTGGACTCCCGCCCGTCACTGTCAACTTTTGTGGTTCAACTGTAGTCGATGCAGGGATGGTGAAGAACCTCGGACTTTATCTCGACCGCCATCTGAACTATCAAGCTCACATCACCGCCATGGCATCAAAATGCACAGGAATTTTAATCGCTCTCAGTCATGCCCGCCACGTGATGCCAGCAAACACACGTAAGGTAGTTGTTCAAGCACTAGTCATATCGATCGTGCGGTATTGTATAAGCGTGTATGGGTCGTGCGGTGTGACCCAGATGGCTCGTGTCCAGAAAATTCTCAATTTCTGTGCCAGAGTCGTCAGTGGCCGTAGACGCAGCGACCACATCTCTGACGTCATACAGCAGCTCGGCTGGCTGCGGGCAGACGAATTAGCCGAGTACCACACTATCTGCGCAGTCCACCGAGCCATCACATCGGGTACTCCTGAACATATCAGTGATACCATCGGTCCTGTAGCCCGCGACATACACGACCACAACACCCGAAACGCAGGGCTGATAACACAGCCACGGGCCCGAACAGAGACGGGGAGACGTCGACTATGTATTAGAGGAGTCGCGATGTTAAACGATACCGAGTTGAGCCCGTATATACCAGCGTTTCGCGCCAATGTGAAGCGTGTGATCATGTCGAGACGCCGAGTAGCTGTCTGAACCTGTTCCAGTCGCACGCTTGTTTGTGCTTGCCAGTGATATCTATGCCTACTCGTACTGTCTATATGTTCCCCGTTTTATCTGGTTTTACGTGTCTGGTGAAAAGCCACTTTTATTGTGGATCCTAGATGAATACACATCTGTATCTGTATCTGTCAAACTGGGTCATGCATGTTTGATAGATCAATTTCTCACGCCGATATGGGTCAGGCAGACTGGGCGCACAAATGAGCTCACGTGATTCGGGCGCGTGTGGCTTGTAAGCCGTGTCGGTACGGTTCAGTCATATCCGACGAACAGTGATTGAACTGGGTCAACATGGTTCATGCATGATCAATCGCTTCCTCACGCCGATATGGGTCAGGCATTCCGGGCGCTTAAATGGGCGCTGCGTCCATTGTCCTCCCTGACTGCGTGTGGGGTTATCCTGTGCAAATAGTTCCCGACCGACTGCTGGAGTCGTGGGTCCCTCCCCAGTGTTATCGGACAAAAGGTCAACCACTTGGCCCCACAGCGGTGACCCCTGCGTCCCTCCCGCGCCTTCCCCTCTCCCTGGTTAACTGGCGGTGGTTTTACACGCCGCGACGCCCGGCGGCGGTGTCACGACGTGACGTAACGGCTCTATTACTGCTGACGGCCGAGTGTTGGCCGCCCGACCGGTGGGCGCGCGCAGCGGAATGGGTGGGGGAGCCCCGTCCGCGGAAGTACAGCTGGCACTCCCCGGCGGCCATCACGGCGACAATGCTTTGATGTGAGCATTTGTTCTGGTGACGTCACCCGGCACCCAACGAATAGCGTCATTGGCTCCATCTTAGTCAGGCGGGGCGCCGCGTCGATATGGTTTAGGCATACTTGACGAACAGCGAATTTTACTGACAACATGATTCATGCATGTTGAATCGCCGCATCGGTACGGTTCAGGCGTACCGGGCGCATAGATGAGCCCACATGGTTCAGGCCTGTGTGACTTGGCGCTGCGTCGATTAGGTTCAGGCATACTTGACGAACAGCGACTTTTACTCTGTCAACATGAATCAGGCATGTTGCATTGCCGCACCGATACGGTGCAGGCGTACCCGGCGCATAAATGAGCCCACATGGTTCAGGCATGTGTGGCTTGGCGCTGCGTCGATATGGTTCAGGCATGCCTGACGAACAGCGAGTTTTACTGTGTCAACATGATTCATGCGTGTTGAATTGCCGCACCGATACGGTGCAGGCGTACCCGGCGCAAAGATCAGCCCACATGGTTCAGACATGTGTGGCTTGGCGCTGCGTCGATATGGTTCAGGCATATCTGACGAACAGCGAGTTTTACTGTGTCAACATGATTCATGCATGTTGCATTGCCGCACCGATGCGGTGCAGGCGTACCCGGCGCATAAATGAGCCCACATGGTTCAGGCATGTGTGGCTTGGCGCTGCGTCGATATGGTTCAGGCACATCTGACGAACAGCGAGTTTTACTGTGTCAACATGATTCATGCATGTTGCATTGCCGCACCGATACGGTGCAGGCGTACCCGGCGCATAATGAGCCCACATGGTGCAGGCATGTGTGGCTTGGCGCTGCATCGATATGGTTCAGTCATATCTGACGAACAGCGAGTTTTACAGTGTCAACATGATTCATGCATGTTGAATTGCCGCACCGATACGGTACAGGCGTACCCGGCGCATAAATGAGCCCACATGGTTCAGGCATGTGTGGTTTGGCGCTGCGTCGATATGGTTCAGGCATATCTGACGAACAGCGAGTTTTACTGTGTCAACATGATTCATGCATGCTGCATTGCCGCACCGATACGGTGCAGTCGTACCCGACGCATAAATGAACCCACATGGTTCAGGCATGTGTGACTTGGCGCTGCGTCGATATGGTTCAGGCATATCTGACGAACAGCGACTTTAACTCTGTCAACATGAATCAGGCATGTTGCATTGCCGCACCGATACGGTGCAGGCGTACCCGGCGCATAAATGAGCCCACATGGTTCAGGCATGTGTGGCTTGGCGCTGCGTCGATATGGTTCAGGCATACCTGACGAACAGCGACTTTTACTCTGTCAACATGAATCAGGCATGTTGCATTGCCGCACCGATACGGTGCAGGCGTACCCGGCGCATAAATGAGCCCACATGGTTCAGGCATGTGTGGCTTGGCGCTGCGTCGATATGGTTCAGGCATATCTGACGTACAGCGAGTTTTACTGCGATATGGGTCAGGCAAACCGGTCGCCAAAGAGCCCGTGTACCTGACGAACAATGAATTTAACTTGGGTCTGCATGGTTCATGCATGTTGATTGTTGCTGCTCTGCACCGGTATGGGTCGGCATACCAGGCGCATTAATGAGCCCACACGATTCAGCCATGTGTATAAGCAGCGTCGGTACGGTTCGTCGTACCTGACGAACAGCGAATTTAACTGTGTCAACATGGTTCAGACATGTTGGTTCTCCGCTCTGTGTTACTGTGACATGGACGACGAGCCGGTATATACATTCACACCCAGATGGAGCGGGTGGTATTGTATCAGTTATTCACTATCAATGACTCTGAACACACACATCTGCCAGGTGCGGTCTCTGCACAACGGTCTATCCCACTGGTATTGATTCGTTGACAGCATCAGCATATTCCATTCGCTTGACTTTCCGGCGAGTCAGCCATGCAGGCAGCAGGCTCCTTATATGACTAGTATCGCTAGCACGCTAGCCTGACTTACCGGCCATGTCCGTCTCCCTTGATCCCCCTCTGCTGAGCACCAGGTACTCGTCGCTTCACAAACCTGACTCCCGGCCTTGTCTACTTTTCCTGCTCGCTCGTTTTACAGCGCTTTGCTCGACGCTCGATTCCCACTCTCTCGCTTTGTCCGTCACCTCTGCGACCGCACGATCGTTTTCCACAGCCTGTCGCTTCGTTTCCACCCTTCCGCACTGTCCGCCGCCTCTGAGCGCGCGCCTTGGACTGCCCGACCTGTTTTGCGGCCTGTGTACTGTGCGTGTCTTATCTCGCCTCGGCCGAAGCCCGGTCCCCTCCCCCTGGACCCGGGTCGTCAACCGCGCCACGACTCGGGTCTCCTCCCACCCCTCTGCCCCTCCCTCCCTCCTCGTGCTGGCCATCCTCCGCTCCCTCTATTCGAGCCCCAAATCAAGCTAATAATGTTGAGAATATGGTTCATTTGTATCTATTATCTTATTCGGGTGGTGCCATCCATTGGGATTTTCCGCCGTTGATGTCTTGCCAAGCCAGACAGATAACCTTGTTAGGTGTTGTTATCCACGCTAATGTATCTTGTTTGGCCAATTTACTATGGCAAAACATGCTCTCAGCCTCCCTTGTCACTCGATGCATAGCCTAAAACAGCCTTTATCGAACAACGCCTGCGATGCCAAAAGAGTTCCGAAAAAAATTAACATGTATCGTAACGCCACCGCAAAAATTACCCATTACGCCAGATGAAGACCGCGTTGGTTGAGTGGACCGACCGGCTGCCACGGCTCGATCCCGGTCTCCCGTAATCACACCAAATTACCCACCCGCCGTCCCGTGTCAGCACCACCCCACCACGACGACAGCCGGCGGTCCCCCGTCGCCGGCCATTCACGCCCCAGTTACGGCCGACGCAGACGTGTGCCGTGCGTGAGCGCTCACGGTAAGCAGCTTCGCCAGTCCGAGCTGCTGGAGCTGCTCACAGCGCCGGTATGACAGGAGGGAGAGGGGAGAGTGACAGAGGGTCCACGGCGAACGGTCGCATGTGTGATGGCTATAACGGGTCACGGGAATGAGGGCGGCATAAAACTATTTTAGTTTAGTGCGTGGTTGGTGAAGACGTAAGGAGTAAGGAACGTCGCCCCTGTGAATGTTATGTGTCCCGTTTCGGCCTATAAAGCCGCTGGGCAGTTCAGTCTGATGGTTTTACTGCGTGGTTCCCCAGCTGTCCAATTACTATTGAACTCGCGTCTCGCAGCTCGCAGTTAAATCATTCCACTCCGGTCAGCTTCTTCCTTGAGATCACTGAACTGCTCTCGTCCCTCTGCTTAAACCGTTAATTCGGGCTGATACTCATTTAGGTATAGTTATGCGAAGAATATCTAACCCCCCCTCCCTGGCAGATGAAGGTGAGCTAAAATTATAAGGTCATGCCTGAACTATGAACGAGCGAATCGTCGGATCATGAGTTGACCAAGCGCTGCCAGAGACGCCCTGCTCGATATTTGTCAGGGTCACGCTACATGCGTATTACATTTACATGCATCACAAATTACATTACATGTAATTACATTATGTAGGTACATTACCTACATAAGGTACATTAGCTGCGTGTCGCGTGAGCCACGACTGAAGGGTTTGGTCGAGATGGAGTAGGGACGCGACGCAGACAAAAGCAGAGGGAAGGCGAGGGACACAGGACGGGAGGAGAGGCCGATATAGATGGCCTAGGCCGGCTCAGGAGGCGCCGACAGCCGGCTGGACCAAGGATCAAAGCAGAGGACAGTGTTTTGACGGTATATTTGAGACGCTAGAGAAGATTAGAGATGAGGCAGCGGTCGAAAAACAAGAACGGCTCAGGAAAATGTAGGGGCAGAGTCTATAGACGCGCAAACTGAGGATGGGTCACAGTCAAGATAAAAAAGGACCATAGGTCAAAAATGTTTACGACGTGGTTGTAACTTCGGTTGAGCCAACGTGCCGTTTGGAACTATTCCGCATGTTATCCGAACAATTTTTTTTTTTTCAGAAGGAATTAATGAGGTAATCAATAAGGGACGAAATTGACGAGGCTATTGTGAAAGAAAATAATGTTCCCTCACGAAATGAAGAAAACGGGAACCGCTTGTTCCTGACTATTTTTATTTTATTCAAATAAAAAATATCAAAGTTGTCATCACATGGAAGCATGCATCTTCCTTGTCATTTGTAGAAATACTGTCATAATAACACCCCTTGTTTCCCTCAAAATATCACCTACTCAGTTCTTTAACTTCCTACCATTCGTTGCGCCTTGCAGCGAGGCTGCTTTGTCATGTCAAAGTGCAAGTGCATGAAAATAACTGCATGCCATGTACGGATGACGGATGACTGGCTATACACTTCGCATATAAATATATGATTACCGTAACACATTCGCGACCCGGACCCACCGCCGTCCGTTACCCTAAACGGCTCTCCGTGTAAATTACGAGTACTGCAAATGGCCGCACGCTAGTCACGTTCAGTTGACCCGAGGCGAAAGGTCACCGGCCGGCCACTGTGCCACCGCTCCACGACCCGGTCTGGTCCCTCTGTGCAGCACATCCGGCGCTACCTTGCAACACAACACCCGTACCGGCTGGCCGGCTACCTTCGAGCCGCTGTTTGCAAAGGAGTGTCGCCGCAGAGACGCGGAAACAGCCGCCCGCCGCGCTGATGAGAGAGACGGAAGACGGTGTGTTTCTCTGCAACGCCGAGTAATGAGCGGCTCTATCAGGGACAATCCGATAGCTAACCCTCAGTGCCGTCGAAGGGTTTGGGCCACGTATTCTCTTTCCGAGGGGCTCTGCATGGTGTGAGAGTTTCAATCGTCAGTCCGAGGTATCCCGAACCTGGGCTGAATTTGAGCTGAATTCAGCTCAGTCTTGACGGACCTCCTGACATTCAAGCTCCAATACTCTGACACTCAGCTCTCCAACTCTCCCCCGACACTCTCGACACTCGCCTGGCCGTTTGTCGCCGCCCAGCTCTGACAGATGTGCGGCCAAGCGGCCGTCGCGGCGACACCGGACACCGGTTTCTCGTCTCCGGCCGACCCTTTCTATCGGTCCGTCACCCGAACAGCGCCGTCACGGCGTCACAAGGCGAATCAGTGTGACGAGAAGAAACCCGAAGCTGGACGGCGGTGACGCGGCGACGGATCGACGGCGACGGACAGATGTCAAAGGGAGACAGCGGAAAGACGGGCAAAGATATTGGAGAGATGGGAAAGATATTAGAGTAGATCGAGACATGGAGAGGAATCCATAAATGCTCAAGGATATCTTTGAGAAACCAAGAAAGCTTTTGGTTTGTTCAAGAGCAACATTTAGATAAACATATCGTAGCAATTGATGAAAATTATCAGCATTGGTAATTGGCGAAAAGTTCAACACAAAAATGTGCATTAAATGCCGATGGCGGCGTTCGACCGTCACTCAGTCGCTTCTGCTCTATGTACTCGAACGGAAGAAGCTTTTCTGCCACGCGCAGGACCGGATCTTCGAATTAGATCACGCCCGCGGTCGCATTAGTTTCAGCTCTGTTTACTAAATGGACCAAACACAGCTCCGAAAGGTCGAACTTATATTACTGATGGCACTGCGCCGTGCTCTGGACATTGCACAGACCGAGTCATGAGGCGCATGACCTGATACGTTTATCGTACTACTACCCATTAGTTACTTGGCGATAAATTAATATGCTACATATAAGCTAAACTTACATCTTGAGGGGAGATTATTTTAAATGGATGGCAGCCACGTGTGGGCAGTTGAGTTATGGGGAGTTAGGTGTGGTGAGCGTGAGGTCGCGACTCGCCAGACCCAGAGATGAAATGTTATCAAATTACATTGTTGACTCTTTCAATGATATGCTGCATGCACCGTCACGGTTTCGCTCCTTCGTATCTTGTGACTGTCAAGAACTGTTGCTTAAGTAGCATGCTGCAATCGTAGCTTTCTAAAGCGTCACCCGGGCGACACTTTCCGGATGGACAAACGTAAACAAATGTATGCAGTCTGCCGGGCTGGGCTCCAGCTGGTTTTTAAACACGTGTAGCTCGTATAAGGAGTACCCCGCAGCGTGTTTTCTGGACGCTGAATGAATAAACAAGCGCCGCTGCCAGCATGAGCTGCTATCCTGTATCGGTAAGAAGGGGCTCCAGGCGCGATGGTGCAAGTAAGATGTGGGCTGCATTATGCAAAACAGTACATATCGTGTTCATGATTTGCATGGTTGTCACTGCTGCGGAGAGGGAAACGGAGATGAAACTCGGATATATCTCAGCTCAGCTTCATCAAAATCACACATAGAACGTCTCTCTCGGAAGGGTCGACTGATCCCGTCCCGTGTTTATCTCAATACTAAGAACAAAGACACACTCCATTATCTCAATACTGGTCTGGACTCTTTTCCCAGGGTGCGGGAAAGCCGTCTGAGCCTACGTCTTGTTTTTGTCTTTGGACGCCCAAATAATAATCTCCTAATTAACCGTTTCCGTCAGTCTCCGCGGCCGGACTCCCTCATCAGACTGGCAGCGTGGGTGTTCGTCTGGGAACGCGCCAGAGTTGCCACGCTGCGCCACATTCGCCGGCGCACACAATACCGAGAGAAACCGGCTGCCTTTTGACGCCCCGCGTCGGGTCAGCCGGAGATAGGATCCATGAAAGCTGGGTGGGTCTCCCGGAGCCGGGCAGATACGCAGCTGAGGCATTTCATTTGGCCCGTCGCTGAAAGTGTCAGTCAGGACCGTGACGGTCCGAGTGTCGTCACTGCCGGCGCGGCGGATGGGCGCTATCTCGGTGCAGGTGAGAGATAGGGGACCTCTCCGACCGGTGACGGACAGCTGACGGTGTCTCACGTGTGTCAGGGTGCGTGATTGGCAGTAGTTTGCATATATGTAGTATCCGCTTTGATGAAGGCTGCGTACTAGCGTTGTTGAAGTCTTGCGGATTTCGTGCTGACTACCAAATGAGAGACGGAACATGCTAGAGGACCGGAAACATTATTTCTCGGTGGATTATTTTCTACGCACTGACCTTCAGAAGGTCCGGACATAATTATAACAGGTCAGAGATTTATAGCTTGTGCGCTATGTTCCAGGCACTAATAAGATAGACGGTGTAGGCAATTGGACCACCTGTCCGCAAGTTTCGGATCGTGTCTCAAGGTTCGAGGCATTGGGG